TGAGATCTTGTATTTCACCTCATATATATTTTTGTTTCCTTAGAATTCATGTTTTTCTCTGCCTCCCTTGACCGTTTTATTTCGGTTCAGTTGAAAAACAAAAATACTGTCAAAAGCGAAAATTATTTAGTAATTTGCAGTCAAATTGTGCATCTTTTACAATTCTCCCAACAGGGGCCACTGTAAAAATCAATTGTATTTCTAGAAAGAGGCTCTCAAAACGTCAAAATTAATTTGGTTCTGTTTGCTATTTAGTTTCGTAAATATTTTGACCGCATTTTTGCAGTTCAGTTTCTCTCGATAGCCCTTCAATTATCTTGGTCTTGATCATTAGTAATCACTTATCCTTTTGCAAACATATCCAAACAGAACTTCTACCCATTGAGTTGAATCAGGAATAAGCGATCTGCAAGGAGAGCTTTTCTTATGGTGTAAAGTCACTCACTTCTTTTATTGTGAAAGACTGGCTTCTTTTTTATGTCCTCCAATTTTCCGCAAAGTCATCAAACGTGAAGGAAAAATACCTCTCTTTGTGACTGGAAACTATGAAATATATATCTTCCTAAAAGAAATAATTATTGTAATAGTTTCCTGATGAAAAGAGAATATAGAGCTTTTTTTTTTAGCTCGAAGTTATTATAACACTTGGTTCTAACTTCAGCGTTCTTTCTTCGAAATAAGAAACATGTAAGAAGTTTATAGAAAACGAGAGATACCTTATTTAATTTATCGTGTCTGGATAAACGCACAACTAACGCTCGAATTAAGGAATATGAAGGATGCATGCGCTAAAGAATTTTATTACACTTTTCTTCTAGCTAAATGTATGTTACAGTGGTGATTTTAAATGTTGCACTTTCCTACTGTCATCCCTGACTTGTAGAAAACAATTAAATAAGTATGTTAGAGATTTTCAGCCCTGAATAAAGATTCAATCGCACTGAAGAACCACGCAGATGTTGATCCTTCTAGCAACAAAATCGAGGCATTCCGTGTAAGGCGGGATACAAGATTCTCAGCGTTTTTTCTTCGGCAAATGGGAGTCGAATTTTGCTGCCCAAACTCAGAAAATTCGGTTACGTCTTTGAAAACGCCCATGCATTCGTGCTGCATATTCTTTTTTTTAATGAAAATTTGTTGACGTTTTCGTATTTCCGATTAAAAGAGGGCGTGAGAAATCAAGAATCTGTCAAGGCAAATGCATTTAGCGAGGTCTTATTTAAAATAAAAATGCATGCATTCGCAATCTCGTTATAGATGTTAAATTTCAGAAAGTGTAGGGCTACTTCCACTAAGTGATCACAGCTGTCGTTACTTCAAGTTTATTTACAAGGAAATCGAATTAGAAATTTCATCTGTAAAATTCCGTAACATATTCACTTTGCCCTCTTCGATGGATGCTGTTGACATGAAATCGATATGCATCTTTGAAAATCTCTTTTCAGGAGTATTTGAACAAAAAGGATCATGGTGCCGTGCGTTCCGAGCTTTGATTAAAAGCGATGGCTGAAATGCTTGGGAACCTTGAAGTTAATGGCAGTTTTTGTTTCACATTACTCTATTTGACTCATTACTCGAATTTAATGCGAATATCAAAGATACAACCCTCTTTTCAATTAAGAAAATTAAAAATATCGTTGTTAAGACCAAATGAGAGATGAACGATCTGATCGACCATCATGATATCTGACTACCGTTGATGCTGGGAGGAGTTTTTAAAAGACCCTACATTTGTAATTGTGGCTGGAAGTAGAGTTGTTTAGGGAACATATGTAAAGCAGGATTTCAATTCCGTTGCATGGTGTTGATACAATCAACTTTTTACAACTACGTTATCTTCAAGGTTATTCCCATCAGTGCTTAAGATATCTATGAAGTTTAATACCCTCGAGTTCCGAGTCATTTTAGTGGTTACTTCTGAATATGAACAATCCTATATGCGGCTGTTTTCATCTCGAAAAAACAAATACTTTCTTCCTCTAAAAAGGAGGAATATTCACATCACCTCTTGAATATATTCAACACACGCTGAGCTACTAATATTGATTTCTAAATATTTTAATGCTTTTAAAAATAACAAGTTATTAACTATAAGCCTTAACTCAAGAATATTAAATATAGATAGTTTTATTCATATTTTCGTGAGTGTTTGAAGGTGAGCGATCAATTTTGATCCCAGTTGTTTGCCGTTCTTCGCTATCAACGTCTCTGCGCGAAGGTACGATCTTCATGATCGCGCATGTTGCGAAGTGGAGGCATCCATGACTTTTTTCTGCGTTTCTGTTTTAAACATAGGAAAGAAATTATAGATATATCATATAAGATCGTTGCTACAAAATACCAGACTTTCTTGTCTTCTTTCGCCCCCCTCTCTCTCTCTTTCACCCTCCCCCCCTCCCCTCACCTCCACCTCACATTTCACCTACGTAATACGATTCGCAGCACTGTTTCCGAAAATCTTGCTTGTTCAAGGTTAGCAGATTTTTTTGGACGTTTTGTCATGGTATCGTATATTCCCTATACAAGGTTTTACCCAGTTATGACAAGATAAGAATTGTCATATACATGGATTTCGACCACCAAGTATGCGAGTAAGGCCGAAGGTGCTGCTGGGAATTCAGACCTTCGGATTCGTGTGGTTTCATTCAAAACATGCTTGGTTAATTCAGCACCGCAGTTAAGCACAAGTGCCAATAACTCAGATCTCTTTCAGGGGTCTCACCAAGATCCAATGACCGACACTCTACCGCCGCCTAGAAGACTTTCACCGCCGTTTGTTCAGCATGCGAGCAGGCTCTCGGGCCTTGCGGCCCTTTTCTAAGCACAGCCGAATTTCACACCATCGGCGGCCGCCGAAGGAAAAAGTTGTCGAAACCTTGACTTTATATAAGACCCAGGCTCTTCTGTAGTTCAGGACAGTGCCAGTCAAGCCTAAGTATCAAACAATTCAATGGAGTATTATTTCATAAACAATTAGCATATGTCTTTGCTTCTCACCCCATTTTTTCTGCAGCCGTAATACGACATGCCACAAAGATTATTGCCCCGTTTGAGTTGCATGAATCGCTTAGCTGCTAAAGATCTGAGGTCCATTGTAGGGAAGTCGTCAGTACTTGATAGATCTGAAGACGCTGCGACATCATGGATGAAGATGGAAAGAACGACGACTGTGAGTAATAATGCATGTAAAAGTTGCATTTTGTTGATAAGCTCTTGCTTCCTGTTTTAATAGAAAAAAGTTTTTGAAAAGCCATTAGGTACAGTTCCATCGTATTCACTTTTTTGCATGTCAGATTATGTTACCCTCTCTGATCGAGTAACTATCTATAATTGCTATCTATAAGTTCTCTTTGATAAAATATAACATCTTTTCACCACACTTGTTATCACATTTATTCATTACTAACGTTGACTATTTGTAAAGAAGTGCGAAGCTGATAGAAACGAGAGCAAGTAAATGGAATCAGTACAACGTACATGAGGGGATTAGATGTTCTTCAAATCCTCTCATTAAAAAGTTTTCAAATAACATCCAACACCTGTATTTCATGGTTGTATCATAGAAGGTTCACAAAAAACCTAGAAAATTTGAAATACTCACCTATTTCGTCGAAGCCACTTTTTTGGTAATGAAGACAGAAAATTGAGTTCATGCTTAATTAATGACTCAAATAATCCTAAACATTTGTTTTGGCTTAAATATAATCATAAAAAAAAAACAAGAAATAAATAAGATAGAAAAAAAAATTGAGAATAGGAGAGAAAAATGAAGTTTTACAGCTATAACTTATTACTAACGAGAAGCTACGAGAATACTCAAGGTACTTTTAATAAGTTACCTTTAAATTCATTTACTGAGTGTTAAAGTAACGAGGTGAGATGCAGTTGTTTGCATTAATGAAGCTTTGAAAATTTAAATGAATAAATCCAAATTTAAGAAAATACAGTTTATTTAAATTTATTATTATCCCTGACAATTTTAAAGTTACCGTTGCTTTCGTTCGGCGCTTGTTAATTTTGGTGATAAAAACCTCAACATATATACAATATATATATATATATATATATACATATATATATCATATACATATCATATATATGCATATATAGCTTCGCTCTTTCAGAGTATCCAAACAAATTTTCGTCGAGAAAAATTATCACTGACCGAGACAAATATACATATTCGTGTTTCGAGTTATCTTAAGAGGCAAAATGAAATGAAATTTCTCATTAGAAACAACCTTTCCATGCAAAAATATTAAAATGTCGCGTTTTAGGCTTACCTTTTGAACAGAGCGTGTGCTTTACTAGTGCACACGATAGAAATGATGTCTTCTACGTAAAGTAGGAGGTTCTTGGTTGTGTATATCTGCTTATGAAGTCTTCGCATTTATAGAGTGTTTACAATGAGCTCCCACCCATCCAATTTCCGCCGAAAACTCCTTAATTCACTACACTTGGAATAACTTTTGTTCTTCCATTTCCTTTTGGCGTCGCTCTGTTTAAACATTATGACAGCTATGGACTCGTTAACGTTGGCCTTGTCCAAAGTGGCAATTAAAAAGAAGAAACTTGCTATTCCGGAATGAATTACTATTATTGCTTGTTGCTTAATGGACTTCTTTAGAAAGACAAACCATGAACCTGGTAGTTTCGCAATCCTATGACAAACTATAAACTGACATTTTCGTAATCTTAACTTCAAATTAATTCTTCCGAAGGATTTTCCGCATCAGTCCCCTATTCTATGATTGGAATCACAGTTTATCGTGATTTCCAAACGTTATCTCGCGGGTAACCTATAAAAGTTACTTTCATCACCTGCACTCTTCTCATTCTTCATCGATCAAAATTTACTACATAACCTGGATGTAATATTTTTCTTTCAGACGTCCCTCTACACGAGAATATTACGATTTAAGTTGCAAAAACTACTCAGTTTTCTTTGAAGTAGAAGTCGTTTTTACGAAAGGTGTTCTTTGGGTTGAATTTGCTACAGAAAAAGGATTACAGAGCCCATGATGATAATATCTTTTTTTTATGCACCAGACGCCATGAATTTTTGTTTAAATTTTGAACTACAACAAAAGTAATAAACAAGGAGAGAATACTTGCAGCAATAACTTGAAGACTAGGAAATAATCATTAAACTATCTGCCAGTTCTTTAAGTTCCGGCGTCTTCCGTTTGAAAAATGAAACAGCTTTTAGCAATTGAAAAGCATGTGTCGTGCTCTAATAGAAGATATTAAAACCCAATTTAACAGTGTTTGCTTAAAGTAAAGTTCTTTTCCTCTAAATCTTCACTTGGGTTTGTCGTTAGCCCACGCTATATATATATATGTCTTCTCAATTAAAGTTTCTCTGAGTTTGTCTTTTTACAATTGCATTTGACACTTCCCGACAAAGAAGCTTTCAAGAGATATGTCGTGCACAATTCAAAGAGAAATCTGGAAAACTGAATAAATTCCTTATTTTAGATCCTGCGCCAGACGATAATCTTTTATTTATTTGTCGCAACTTTTGTGTTAACAAAAAACTGGTACACCATATCTTACTTTCACGAAGAGTTCAATTTCTGATGGAAAAGTGCTCAAAAATATATTCGGAATGATGAGTGATTTATTGATTTTGTTACATGGTTAGAAATCAAGCAATAAGGTAAATTTTGATGTTAATTTTCAATTTATATAACAAAAACAGTTCATAACTTCTAACTCTGCCTATATTACGGTCTTTTGCACGAAAATCAATCAGAGCCACATCGAAGATATGGTGATGTAATTTGACTGAAATCCCTTGATCCAATATTCTAGTAAAAGTGCGAAGCGTTTATAGCTGTTTCTTTTTTTTTTTGCGTGGGAAAGGACTCAAACCATTATTTTCTTTACTAATAACCATTTGCTAAAGAGAAAAAAACTTTTCAAAACACAACGATTGTTACATGTATTATGGCCTGAGGGTCCTTTAGCGATACGAGACTAATAAGCTTTTGAATTGACTGTTATTGTCAAATTACCTAACAAGAATTCATTAAGTACGTTACGTTTGTTTTAGAAAAATGTCCTATATGCCTCAGAAATAGCTTGAAAAGGTTTAAACGATGTTTTTGGAAACATTTCTTAGAGCTTTTTTAATGTACCGTACGTCTGTGTTTTCTTTTTTCATTCTTTTTCCCATATTCTTTGTTTTCATTGTTATAGTTTAAGAAAACACTAGTTATGTTTAATCCCTTAACAACGATCTCCTTCTGTTAATTTAGATGGAGATAAATTAAGTTCGTGACGCATTTTCCAAAGACTTTCTATAGCTTGAAAGCGTTGTTGGATGTCGTCTGCGAGTATGAAAAATCTAAATAATCGCATTCGCGCATCTTTTTAGATTTTTTAAAAGTAGCGATACCATACTGTACTTACAAGACGACCACCCTTCCTGAACAAGTACTTAACAGCTTTATGTCTCTGTCATTGTAAAGACTTCTGCAGCTTCTTCGCACAAGAGCATCAGTTATCCTCTTAACAAACTTATGACTGGATGTATTCCTCCATATGTTATGATCGGATGTGTTTCCTGCATATATCATGTTCAGCTTTCAATTGATGAAAATTATTGTAAAAAAATGTTCTCTGCTTTTTTATTTTTAATCAAAATTTTTTTTTTCAATTTTCGATGCAAGGTTTATAGGCGTTAACGAAGTTATCTTCTGAGAGCGAGGAAGTATAAACACATATAAACAGCAAAGCGGCGCGCACATGAACAATTATGACTTACTTGCATTATATAGGATTGTTGTTAGCCTATCCAGCTTGATAGTTCTTAAGCAATCAAAATTCTAGAAGAATCGCATTCAAATTGTGCGGGAGTTTTAGGATAACATTTCATCGTTTCTGAAGAGGAACATAAATACTGATTATATTGTCGAATAGGTTGAGAATGAAGCTTGTTTGAAATTAATAGGGTAAGAATACCTATATTTTCCACAGAGCGAAACGCTGACGACTGTTTCAATCATTTTAGGACGTCGTCACGCTCGTAGGCACCTCAGATAGTTCTGATTGGTTTATAAATTCGAAAGCCATTCGGTTTTTACGACGATTTATAAATGTGAAAACGAGGCTTGGTTTTTTGTCTTAAATAATTAAATTTTGTGCTTAACTTCTTCATTTTCCCTCGTGAGTATTAAAATGATAAGAATACGACTCTAAGCAAACTTCAAGAACCTATGTCAAGCCTCTTCTTAGTGATAAATAATAAATGATAGTTTGTTTTACGGTGGAAGTGTAAACTGCAGGATATCAATTGTCTTTGTGACAAAGAAGCCGTATCCTGATGAAATATTTGACTTCTCTGATGTAGAAGATTTTCTCTATGGAAAAGCTCTGGCCCTAATGAAACCATGCAACAATATTTCATTACTAATTTAAATTTGTGTGGTTATTTGAGTATTATGATAAAAATATGACCACCTCATTGAAGGACAACTCTGGCGTCAATTTTTTTCCATTTTTTTAATTTGTCTTGTCCAAACTATCGTTGCAAGAGATTCAATGCAGAGGTAATGTTCTGTGGACATCAGGGTTTGTATCGATGTAACGCTTTCTGCTAAGTTTCTGGAGGACGAATCCATATTGCCAAACGTAGACTTTCGACATGAATTTTAATCTCCGTTTGCATTGACCGCCAAGAGTAGATTTTTAATTATCACCCGGTTTGAAGAGGAAGCCTCATCATTGTGTCATTCATGCGGCTTTCCGTTGAAATTTGTGTCTGTCAAATTGTAGGCAATGTCAAATATCGACATTCGAGGGTAGAATTTAGTTTCAAACGACTTGACAATTGATCGCGATTTTTTTGATCGAAAAAAGTCAATACAAAGGTCATTTTGTGATTGACACTCACCGCAAATGCTGAACGTGTTCCCTGTAGAAACAAAAAAAAAATTCTACAATAGATAATACTCTATGTTATCTCCCCGAGGCAGGATATCAATTTTACAAAATAAGGAAAGCAGTTTGCGACATTTCATGACGAAATTGACTCTTGAAAAAAAAATTCCAGTTTTGATCACAATACCGTTATTTTGATGGGCTGCAATTCTTCTCTGGATTCAAATTTAGAGAGATGATGTGACGTTTGATATTTCGGCTTTCGACTGGTCCAAATTTTTAGTCCAAGTTTCTGAAAAGACCAATTGCACGCATCCAATGTTGGACATCCCTTGCGTAGTAGGAATATGCCGACAATGCAAAAAAGGAGCAAGATTTATCTCGAATAAATTAATCTTGCAATTCATTTGTGAATTTGGCCGAAATAGAAACGCGAAAAGTAACAAGGAACTTTCGTGTATTTTCTCTATCATTATTTTATTCCTGTTCTATCATTGGTCTACAATAGTTGATATACCAATAATAAAATAAAATAATTGAAAAAATTATAATTGAAAGAATCATGATAATGTCCTTTTCCTATACATTTACGAAACATTGCATGGAAAAGTGATGAGGGCTAATTTCTTTATACATTGCACGATTCAGTTCACAATTTTTAACTGGGCGTGGTTACCTACACCATGCCAAATAATGTGATCAAGATGATTGCTTCAATTTACTACAACTACATTTCGCTCTAAATGAATATTTCTAATGTTGTGAAGGTATATCATGACGCATTACTCTTCAGTTATCCAGTCGTTAAACAAGGCATCCATATCATCGGGCACAAATGAGCTGAATGATGTTGATTGCTGAGCTATTCCATTCTATAAAAATAATTAATTCACAAGTTTGATTGCTGAGCTATTCCACTCTATAAAAGAATTAAGGTTGTATCATTCACCCTTTCCTTGCTGAGTTTCACCTGGCCTAAATTGATGAAGTTGAATTCACAATTTTTAAGTGATTGGAAGAGAAAAGGTAACAAGCTTTATTTTCATCTCGGAAGTTGGAGTTTCATTTTTGCGAGCCGATTTGCAGAATGGTGTAAAAAAATTGTCTTTGATTTGATTATTCATAAATTCCTAAACAGTAAAGAAAATATCACATGAAAATTCTGTTAAGAGTTTTCTTCTCTTGTTGTTTTATATTTCTCGCAAAAAAGGGCGGCGAACCAGTGAAAGATTAAAGCAGCAACTCGAAGTTAAAATTGTCGCGTTCTCTAATTATCTCACCCTCTTGTCCCAATAACTCCGCTTTCCACGGCTTTTACACTTCTTCAAGTTCCAGGTAAATCCACAGGGCTTACGCTTTCGTCTCTTTTCAATAGCATCTCTTAATTCTCCAATTTCTCTGTCGAGTACTTGAGAGATTTCGGACGCCTCACTGTAGTGTAAGGTGTGCAAGAAAAGTATCACTACAAGAACACTCAGGACGAGCAGCGAAACTTTCATCATAGCAGCTTTTATCAACCCACTGGAATGTGAATGAGAAAAGCGTCCTTGTTG